GTGTGTGTGTGTGTGTGTGTGTGTTTTTATGTGTGTGTGCGAGTGTTTGTCTGTCTTTTAGGCTCGATCGTAACTCTCCCTTAAGACTACCGGTTGGACGGCTTTTGTATTAATTTTAACTGGTTGCCTATCTGCCGGACACCAGAAGACCAGGACAGAGAGCAACTATGCAAACTGTCGCCAGGTCGAGGAGCAATCTCATATGTTGAGGAAAAATCCGCGTATACCGCAGTTTCGAGCCCGCATGACCCAAACCGATCGTGTACAAGAAGCATGATTTTTGAAGCAGAGCAGGCCTATTTTTCTTGCATCAACAGGCAATCACTAAATTAAATGTACTACTCATGTATGTAATAAGTAGTAGGCCCGCTGTTGACTTTTTCCCGTGGATAACAAAATAAAATTTTGAACTGTTCACAATCGCTGTCTCCTCTTAGAGCAAATCTAGTAAACTCACCTTTTGATAGTCGGATGGCAGGCTACTGAAATCACCCTTCCGTGGCGATGAGGGGATCTGAAAAAGAGTAGTCATGCGTTTAGTAGAGGATTAGAAAGAATTTGCATACAGCAAAACAACGATACGTAAGAAAGGAAAAAAAGTAAATGGCATTTTAATATTAACTAAATTGTGGTATCGAAATGCGTTCAGACATGATAAAGAAAAGGTTGGAGAGAAGAGCTACGCCATACGAAAAGAAAAGGGGAAAGCATATACCAAAAGATTTTGACTTTTTCCATTTTAACTGTTTTCTACTGCCGGATGGTCTTAATGCCAGATCATCTTAATTGCAGTCATTGCATTATAACTTTCTCCGGAACATACTACTTAATTGACTTGAGTAGGGACCAGATAGCAATAAAATGTTTGGTTGGTCAACTTCGTCTTGCCCAACGCTTTCCGACTGCAGGCACAGAGAGGGCTTAAAATATTCCCATCTTGCGATGCCCGCAGGTTTTGTCGACTTGAGCAATTCGTTTCCATCCGAGATGGCAGAGCTGAGTTTCGTTGAAAAAAGAAGCCATAATCATTGCAAAACCGCGCCAAAGTCTCAAATGAATCTCCCTTTTCAGGCAACCAATTGTGGTGGTCCAGCTTTCCTGAAGCGTTGTCTCGCAAAATAGCTCCATTTGTGGACAGGAAACCTCGAGCCAGGACATGCAAACGAGCAAGTATGTGCTTAAATTTGGACAGTTTTTGCTGAATGGCCAACGCAACTGTGCACAACTTGCAAGTTTGGCCCCAAGAAGTGAAATGACAAACGCAGGACAGTCGAATGATGATGAATGGGATCTGCCATTTTTAGCAAATCAGCACAAATAGCGACCATCACGATAGTAGGCATCACATGATTTTGCCCAAAATGCTAGCAAAAGTGGGAAAAAGTTGTCATGCAGCTGAAGGCACGCCTCCATTTTGCCCACCGTCCCCCTACCATCCGCACAATTCGCAGCAGATTGACGGAGCCAAACCCAATTGACAAGATCTCAGCCTTTCTTGGCATAACCTTTTGTAAAAGAGATCAACTAAAACGGTCTTTCATTTTTGCTTTAAAAAGATTACATACAAGTTTGCACCAAAACAACACCTTTTCTGCTCACCGTATTTAAGCCCGGTTTCGGTTCTGCCTCAGAACTGTTGGGAGGACCGTCCCAGCGACGAGTGATGGAACCGAAGATTTGCTACAAGAGTGAATGAAGCACTAGTTCAATCATTTTCTGTAGGGCAATGTCATTAAGTTAAATTTATTTATTTTATTTGAATTATTGCAAAGTTCACAATTCTTATAGACAAATTGAACTTCAAAAAGTATACTTATCTTAAGAAGTATGCGCTTTTAGTACATCTACTAATAACGACTAATGTTACTTGGCAATAATTGGAACATTGTTTAGGCCATATTTTGTAAGTTTAGGAGTTAAAAAGGAGGGAACACTAAAAATTACTAAAACCACGTTAAAAGTCAAAGCATCAAGCGTACCATTGTTTCAAAACATCTTCATTTCTGGTCTGGTATGAAAAAACTTAAGAAGCTGCCAAAACGCAGAGCATTAAAAAGGCATTGAAACAAGTCTCGAATGAAGAAGCCTGACCAATAAAGTTACACTTTAATAATCTACAGTAGATTACATATTTCAGCTGTAGCAATCACGTAAGAAACTGACTTTTTGGTATATTCCATTGCCTCACTTTTTGTTGTCAATTTGCTACATGCTTTTTATCTTTACCACTTTTGGACACAGCATCGTGTACACAATAAATAACTAGTCTCCGGGTCAACGAACTACCTTGCCTCCGGATTGGTGGGGCGGAACTGGAGGGGGCGCCTGGCCCGAACCCCCGTTGATCGAGAGAGAACGCTGGGAGACCGGCGGGTTCGTCAGTCCAGCAGACTGCTTTACGCCACCCACGATCGTGTACTGCCCACGGACCTGCTCGTGACGGGGCCGTTCAAGAAAAGTAATACCAAGTGAATTCAGGCTCTTTGGGAAACAGTAAAAAAATGTCAGCAGCAACCAAATCAGTCAAAAAGAGGTATCGTGCAAGTGTCCGGTTATCCTTTAAATAGGGTTATTTAGTGCACTTTAACATTTCGTTTTAACGCCTGATGCTTTTTTGGTATATTTCGGCATGAAAAGGGTGGTGCAATTGTGAGACCACTGCGATGAGGCAAGTGGGATCGGGAAGAGCAAGGTCTACAGATGACTGCTCGCCGATTGGCCACACCACGAAATGCCCAAATAAACAGGAATTGTGAAACACAAACCGCTTTGGTGAGGGCCGAACGATCAGCTGAGGGAAACAGTTGGCACGGCCACAGTGAGTTGACTTAAACAGCCCCCATGTCGCGCTTAAACAGTGTGTTTTTTTCTCAAACTACCTGCAGCATGCCAGAGTTAGATGTGATTTTTCCCAAATTCGGCTTTATCTTGAGCGTTTGTGTACGTGCATGCGCATTTGTATATGCATGCACATATTTTGGCCCATGTATGTATGCAAACTTCCTTGTTTGGTTGTGTGCATGCGGGTATGAATATATATTCATTTATGTATGCAAGAATGTTTGATTGTTTGTCTATATTAATGCATGTATAAATAGATACATTTATGTATGCATGCATACTTCAATCGAAAAGTTATCTCAAGACTCTCATCGAAACCCAGCTACTCTTTTTATTTTCAAGGTTGAACTCGTAGGACACGTTTTGTTCGCACTCAGTATCAAATGAAAGCGTCGTGTTTATCATTAAACTCGATATACTACTGAAATATGTTCATAAGGGACCAAAAAACTGAGTCTCCCGCCAAAACCATTTTTTCATCATCTATAAACAACGAATAAAATTGTTTATTCATTTGAAAATGTCCAAACTAGATTGAAATTTTTTTTATTGACAGATAAGCCAACTAATTTGTTCGTATATGCTGACAGTCAAAATGCCCTAATATTTGGCCTAATCACCGCTTACACTCTTCTAGGTAGTCATAGAGATTATTTTGTCATGCAAGAGCATGGGGTCCATGTTTGTCTGTTGCGGAGGAAGTAAAGCCAGCACAAGACACTCTCTGAAGTTCTCTGAAAAAGAGTTGGAAAAAGCTGGAGTCCAGAATACTGAAAAAATTGTAGAATCGAGGCCAGACAGAGTGCAAGTGGTAACTAAGGCAAAGATTGAGACATTT